ACACCAAACAAGGGATAAATCTCTACTTTTATTCAAAAGACTGAGGAGTTTGAACCGGACAATAGGCAAACCTATCTATTATGTGTGCGTGTGTGTTATCCCTGTGGACAGTGGGGTATAGGGTGACAGTAACACCTTCCTAGGTGTTGCTGCTGCGGTTTCCAAGGTGAGTTAGTTTTTAAAGGGGTGGTCTTGCTAATCTTACATCTAAGTAGTTTTGAATTCAAAGTTGTCCTTTCTTCGAAAGTTGACAAGTAAAGCTAGAGAGACCAATTGCCCTGCTATTAACGTGGTGTTTTGCCATTCCCCAGATGAGATGTGACCTGAGTCAGATGTGTGGGGACGGCGCATACACTCGGGCGAGGGACAAAAATTCCCCAGTCCCCGCAACCGTCGGTTGCGCCTGGCCTCGATGCGAGCACGCATCCCTCCCACTTGTGCAATGGGAGGGCGCGGCCTCGGACAGCATTTCCCCAGGTCTGGACACCTCTTCAGTATTTTTGCTCAAGTACTTTACTGTCCTTGACAGAAAGCCCTGAGCGCAATCTATCCAAAGACAGAGACGCAACTGAGATGATAAGTCTGTGTTAGAAACTCCTCCAGGGAGGAATTTATATACTGCTATTTGTATACTGCTATTAACGTCAAACAGGGAGAGATGCCCACAGTGAAGTAAACATAATGAACTCGACCAGAATTTGAACTCCGCTTGCTGGCTTGTCTTTCCGATTCCTTAACCGCTATACCACCCACCCACCCGCACTTGTTTGTTTCTTTTACATTCATAGTCAACTTTTAAACGATTAACATCGATTTCTGTCTGGAATAATAATAATAATAATAATAATAATAATAATAATAATAATTATAATTATATTATTATTTTATATTTCTGGTTTCTGTGTATTCATTTCTTTCCAGTTCCCGACCAGAGACCAAAGGTCAAAAATGGCATCATGACATTTTCCACTGAACAATTAAAAACAAAAAGCAAAATATAGATAAAGCCCTTCGTAAGGCGTGGGCTGTACACGTGAGAACAATTTTTTTTGTATTTCTTTAAGGCATGGGCTTCCAGGGAATCCCTTCAGTGAGTCTACTGGAATCTTTTCCAAATAATCTGAGGGCTCCAACTACAACAGGGGTTGTTGATGTTCCCATGTGCTAAATTTTTGAGATTTCGATTTCAAGGTCCTTGTATTTTGATAGCTTTTTGAAGATCTTCAAAGATATATTGCAGTCTGCTGGGACTGCCATATCAATAAGGAGACACATTTTGTTTACGGACTCTAATATCAATGTCTGGGCGGTTGGCTTTGATTGTTCTGTCTGTGTATTATTATTATTATTATTATTATTATTATACACTGTCTTATTTTAGCTGTTGTATTCAACTTTATTATAGACACAATATTTTGACCGTTGTACTCTCCAACCTTTCTCAGGTGACTGTTATATTTGGAGATATTCTCGCAATAGAAAGTCTACTCTCGAGGAGATAACTCGTATTGATTATTGCTATTTAATCCTTGCAATTCTGCGTCTGTTTGTTGCCTTTTTTTATTTCATTGCCAGGGCCAGGGATGGAACTCACGACCACTACGAGAACTTCTCAATAGGTACAGGCTTACGGCCATATTACATTGAAACATCGATTCCCGTACGATCCAACAAAGTTAAGCAACGTCGGGCTTGGTCAGAACCTAGATGGGTGACCGTTTGGGAATGCCATGTGCTGTTGGAGTAATTTGGATAATGGCTCGAAATTGTTAATTGGAGAGCGGAGTTCCAATTCCAGTCGGGTTCGTTATATTCACTTAAGCGCAAATCATCCTTAGGAAAGGTATGAAACTGCCTCTTCTCCCTCCAGCTATGGGTTAATTATCAAAAGTAAATCATTATTATCTAAAAAAAAATCCTACATTCTAAATATACTTTCTGGATTTAAATAACCTGTTATGGTACTTATGGGCGAATTTCTGAACTGGTTAAGTTTTTCTTATCAAATCACAAAATAAAAGGGTTGATAAGCCGTAAAAGGTGAATTAATCAACCAAGTATTGCAGATTAAGGAAAATTATTTTTAGCGAACAAGAGCTAATAAGAAGCATCAATTTTATCCCACAGATAAAACTCGAATTCTATTCTGTCATCATTAAGCTTTGTTCGCAATTACCTGCGTGAAAACAATGTAATGTTTCATGCCTTTCAAATTTAATGGAGAATGTCAGCAGGCAAGAATATCATAGATTAATCCAGTATTTCTAATGACAAGCTTTCATCGAATCTTGTAAATGTCAACACAAACAGAATTTGGTACAATGCACCAATAAATCAAAATGAATATCAAATTCCCAGACAAACCTTAGTTTGATTAATGCTGCCTGCATTCAAAATTCTTGTACAGACTGACCAAAATCCAATTCATGAAAGAGACGGGGCGCGTGTGTTTAGAGGGGTAAATCGCACGGATAAATATGTATTAAACCTGGTTTAGTATGGTACAATGCCACATATATGAGAAGCCGGATGATTGATTCTACATGTCAACACATTCTAATATTGAACTTGGTATGTGGCACGCAGTGAGTATCGAACTCACTACACAACGGTCAACCAGGTTAGCCTCGTTAATATTTAAGCCAGGATGAGGCACGTCCTCAATATGAAGCATCCAGTAAAGATCTAATTCAGTCCACTGGTGAATAGCCTACACGGTAAACATAGCAACCATCATCCATAGGATAATATCCTGTGTAGTCAAAGGATATATAAAACACCAGAAAAAAACAGTTCTTTAATAGAGGAGAAAGCATTTTGTAAGGAATTGACATTATAAGAAAAATATCTTTTTAAACAATCAAGAATGGTGAAGCTCGGATTGTTGCTTTGGATATCTCGAAGACATTTGACATTTCGGCAAAAGAGCTTTTTTTCCTAAATATTTAAAGGATTTTGAAATCTTTGATACTCGTTGTTTTGCCCGTGATAAAAATTATCAATTTTCAAATCTCACCTAATAGGCTCTTCCTTCAGACAAGCAATATGGCTTTCGATTCTCAACTGCTGATGTATTAACGGTGATTTTTGAAGGAGTCTATCATACTTTAGATAAGAATTGTGAAGCTAGGGCTGTTGCTTTGGATATCTCGAAGATATTTGATAGGGTTTGGCATGTTGGGTTTCTTCTCAAGTTGAAAGGTCATGGTATTTCTGGGTGAATTCTTTATCTAATTTAATCTTTCTTATCGAATCTCAAAAAGAAAGTTGTCTTGAATGGCCATTCTTCTAGATCTTTTTGCATTCATACAGGTGACCCCCAGGGCTCTATTCTTGAATCAACATTGTTCCTAATTTTCATCAATAACATCCTTGATCGCATCAGTTCTCTATTCAGTATCTATGCTGAGAATACAACTTTTTACTCCAGTCTTAATAATCTGATCGATTCAATACGGTTAAATTGACTACTGATCTAAAAAAATCTACAATCTGTTGTTAATTGGGACAAGGACCAGCTTGTCGATTTTAACACCTCCTAGACGAAAATGCCATCTTTTAATTGTCTGATAAAACCATTTTTGCCTTTCATCAGAATGACTAATGCTAACCTTCAGAAGAGAGACTCATTTATAATTTTCATTATTATTATTATTTTATATTTTATTTTTATTTATTTATAATAATAATAATATCCCTACAGGCTCTAATCAACGCCGAATTGATTAAACCTTACCACACAGGATCTTCTTCAATATGGCTTTCATTTCTCATGGTCAACTGCTAATGTATTAACGGTTATGCCTAAAATAGTCTATCAAACTTTAGATAAGAATGTTGAAGCTCGGACTGTTGCTTTGGATATCTCGAAGGCATTTGACTGAGTTTGCTATATTGGTCTTCTTCACAAATGGAAAAGTTATGGTGTTTCTGGACGAATTTTTGAACTGGTTCAGTCTTTCTTATCGAAATCGCGAAATGAAAGTTGTCTTGAACGCCTACTCTTCTAGATCATTTTGCATAAATGAAGGCGTCCACAACCTACGTTGGTCCTTTCATCAACAACATTTCTGACGGTATCAGTTCTTTTCGGTATCTATGCTGATGATAAAATCATTTATTCCTGTCTTAATAATAAATCTTAATGGTTCGATAAGGTCGAATTGGCAGCTGATCTAAAAAAAAATTATCTACTTTCTGTTATTAACTGGGACAAGAAATGGCTTGTTAATTTTAGCGCCTAAAAAACGAAACTCGTCTGAAAGAATTCATTTTACTTTCCATCAATATGGCTGATTCTAGCCTCCAGGAGAGTGACTCATTGCACCTTCGCAGACTAACAATTTCCGCTGACATGAAGTGAAAAGAGTTTACTGAATTAATTTCTGGATCTGTTACTAGGAAAGTTGGCACCCTGTATTATGCTGGACAATTTTTCTCGCCAGAATCGATCTTAAATATTTATAAGTCTACCATTCGTCCTTGCTTTGAATATTGCTTCCACGTCTGGTCTGGTCTGGTCTGGTCTGGTCTGGTCTGGTCTGGTCTGGTCTGGTCTGATGCTCCTGCAATATATTTAGAGGTTCTTGATAAAATCCAAAGAAGAATCTGCAATGTTATTGATCTTGACCTGGCATCCCAGTTTCAGTCATTTCTCTGTGCTTTTTCTATAAATACTTACATGTTAATTGTTCTGATAAACATTTATCTATGGAACCCAGCCATTATGAATTTAAGCATAGTACAAGGTTAGCAACAAGGTGTCATCAATTTAATGTTTAATTGGCTAGATGTAACCGTAAGTTCTATGCTAACAGTTTCTTCTTTCACACTTTTGGAACTCACTTCTGGCTCCATGCTTTCCAGACAACTTTAATCTTCAAAATTTAAATGCAATGTCAATTGTTTTCTGTTTTCTTAATTCTTGTTCTTTTATTCTTCTCCCTCACCTTAATAGTATTTTTCTCATATTCTCTAATACTCAGTAACACGTTGTGCATTATATTATATATATATATATATATATATATATATATATATATATATATATATATATATATGGGAAATGTTTTAACAGAGGACGGATTCCTTAAGTTGTTTTCTATTCTCTTAATGCTTGCTGAAGACATTAGGTTTATAATACCCAGAAATTCATACACAGATGTCCTCAAGGACACATGTCACATTGGATATTGGCGTTAGTTAGATACAGTGACAGGACCCAAAGAGTGTGAGTTCAATACCCGGTTAAGGCAGTGGAGAACTTGGAGAGGGGGATTAACAGGAGATAACTGAAAACTGACATCCATTAAAACATGGAACTAGAACAATCTACTCCAGTAAGCGAAATAAAGGGTTCAGTTCGACATTCTAACCACCTGAAGAAATGTTGTAATAAATATGGCGACAAAGATAAGGACAATAGTCCAAATAATCTAAATAGTGTACATAATACCTCATCTCAGAAATATAGACAGATACTCAGTAACACGTTGTATCTTAGAGGCTTTATATATATATATATATTGGAAATGTTTTAACAGACTGAATGTGCAAGCAACACTAAAATCCGAAAGTACATTGGTTAAGAAAAGATGACTTCCAAATGCTAAGTAAAGTATTAAGAAACAGAAAAATTTCATTAGAAACAAAGATTACTGAACTGTTACGTAATACCAGCCCTCCTATATGGCAGTGAATGTTGGACAATCACTTCACAGATAAAGAAGAGACTTGAGGCAACAGAAATGTAGTTCTACAGAAGGATACTGAGAATGCCATGGACCCAACATATGACCAAGTTTTAGAGAAAATTGAAAAAAGGACACTTATACCTGTCATCATGAAGATGCAACTGATATTTCTAGGTCACATAATGAGGAAAGAGGCTCGGAAATTGTGATACTCACAGGACGGATTGAAGGCAAGATGGACAGAGGAAAGCAGTTCATAATCTACCCAGCCAGCTTGAGTAAATGGATTGCGGAGCAAGGTTTAGGATAGATAACAAAAAGATAAAATTTATTATAAGCTACAAAGAGCAAGAAATCGTGGAGAGCCATGATTGCCTACATCTTGAAGAGACACATCACATAGAAGAATATATATATATATATATATATATATATATATATATATATATATATACGCGTGTGAGCGTGCGTATGTATGGAGGTTTAGATGATTTTATCGGCGAGGAAAGTGAATTGGCATGCGGCTTCAATCGATATCTTCTTCCAGCTATGAATCAATGGATTACAAAGCAAGGCTATAATAACTGTCTCACTTGTTGGCTGTTGTGGCATGTGGGCGATTCCTTACTTTTCCCAGTTGCAGCAGTTGCAGCAACAGAAGTAATTAGCTGGGAACAACCGGAAGTCCTAGAAAACATAAAAGCCTTGATTGAATCCTATTCAGTCTTTTTTCCACTTTCCCTTTCAGCGGCCTCTACATTTTGTTATGGGATCTTACCTATAATAACATAATGGACTATTCCATACGTAATAAATATTGCACCTCAAGAGGAAGCAGGAAGTTCAGTCCGAAGTCGGGCGACCGGCGGACCAGCTGATCGGTTGAACTCTCTGCCTTCGGGCGAGAGGGAACCGAACGAGGCTCCGCCGAAGGGCGGAGTCTCTTTCGGGAGGTAAACCGACCCTGAACCCGTTTATACGGGTTTCAAGGGCATATTTTGGCCGAGCCCACGGCCTCAGAGATCCCACGTTAAACCGGCCTTTGT